CGGCGGGTAGGCCTCTGCCCGCCGTTCCGCCCGCGGGGTACACTATTGTACTCCAAAATTTCCCTTCGGGGAAAATCAACAACAACGCCTAGTTCAAGTCCAAAACACCCAAAATCTCACACACAACAATGATATGACTTGAACCCAAGAAATAGTCAAGCAATGGCATTCAAGAAACCTAAAACAAGCTCTAAACATGCATCATCACAAGATCATGCATCAAATCTCACAAATCACAACAGGAACAACAAGTAGAAGCCAAGAATCATCATATAAGTAAGAAAATAGGTTTTGTATAGCATGGGTTACCTTTGTAGCCTAACAATTTCTTCTATCCACCTTTAATAGCCTTTTCCTAAAGCCCTTCTTCCACACCAACTTCTTACACAAACCAAAACACAAAAAGATACTAACTTTAGTTAAAGACACCTAAAAGAAGGTTAAAAACACCAAAAAGCTAAGGATCTTACCCTTTCTTATGCTCAAGAAGGAAAAAGTGGGAATCTTGGTAGAAAATTTTGTAAGGCTTGGAAATTCAATTTCTTGCTTGGAAAAGAAGCTAAATTATTTTAGAGAGAGGCTAGAGTGTTTGAGTTTTAGGTTGAAAAGATGAATGAAATGAGAAAGTCTTGCTAGGTTAGCTTGAATCACAATTCTTAGGTGAAAAGACATTTCTACCCTTACTAATGTTGGAAAGACAAGGGAACAAGGGCACAACTCAAGAAGCACAAGGTACAACCTTTTGACTTAAGTGACTAGTCAAAATCTAGTCCCTCGACTATCAAATTTCAGGATTTTTAGAAATGGATTAGCAAGGAAAATTGGATTAATTCTTCAATTAATCCTTGACCAATATTTAGATTTACGGGGTGTCACAATTGGTGTCTACAGAGACGACCAAAATAGAGAAGTTTGTGACGGGCCTCAACTTCGAAGCTTAAAAGGCTCTAATCGTAACTAAGCCCAGAACCCTTAATGAGCTTACACCAGCGCCGCCGATCTTTACCGAATCCAACTTCTACAACGGGGAGTTCAAGAACAAATCCGCAAGAGGAATACCGGAGGTGGGGGACCGACTGTGAAAAGAGCAAGGAACGACTCTAACGCAAGGACGGCCAACCCACCTAATCAAGGATCATCCATGAAATACAACGAAACCAAATCTTGCAGACTGCTGGCTGAGATTAATTTGAGACTTATAGCTCGGTCATGAAACCGGTTACTATACGTCTAGTTATGAGCATTGCCATGAGTAACCGTTGGGGTATGCGTCAACTGGACATCAATAATGCGTTCCTTCATGGCACGCTGCATGAGGAAGTGTACATGGAGCAGCCCCCGGGATTGGTCGATCCTCTGTACCCGACTCACGTTTGCAGATTAACAAGCGCCAAGAGCGTGGTACCAGGAGCTCTCAACGTTTATGTTGAGTTGTGGGTTCATTAAGTCCCAAGCGGATGCCTCGTTATTTGTTTATTCCGCTCGTGATGTACTTGTTTATTTTTTAGTGTACGTCGATGATATATTATTGACAGGGAATGATACTGCATGGCTTAATCGTTTTGTGGGAACCTTATCATCACGGTTTGCTCTCAAAGACCTTGGCGCCTTACATCATTTCCTAGGTGTTGAGGTGATTCCTACTGTGGATGGTGTGTTTTTGTCGCAGACCCAGTATATCACTGCTTTAGAGAAGTTGTTACCGTCACAATCGCCTAGTGCCTCGACTGATGCTACTCAGTATCGTCGCTTACTAGGCCTTCTGCAGTACTTGGTGATCACTCACCCTGATTTGGCTTTTGCAGTGAGTAGGCTCTCCCAGTTCATGCACTCACCTACGGATCATCACTGGCAGGCTGCGAAACGGCTTTTTCGCTATCTCAAAGGTACAGTATGCCATGGCCTATTCCTCCGGGCTGGTCAACCGTTGTCGCTACGAGTGTTCACTGATGCCGATTGGGGAGGTTGCACAACTGAAGGGCGTTCTACAACCGCATATTTGGTGTATCTGGGCGACAACCTCATTTCCTGGAAGTCCACGAGACAGAAATCTGTTTCTCGTTCGTCGACGGAAGCTGAGTACCGAGCCTTAGCGAATGTCGCGGCAGAAGTTCTTTGGATTAGAAACTTATTACAAGAACTCAAATTAATCCTGGTTAAGCCTCCGGTCATATTTTGTGACAACCTGAGTTCCACGTATGTTTGTAAAAATCCGGTCTTTCACTCTCGCATGAAGCATCTAGCTTTGGACTACTTTTTGTGCGGGATTTGGTTGCCACTGGTGGCGCTGGTTGTACAACACATTCCCTCTTCTGCTCAGTTGGCTGATCTTCTCACCAAGCCGCTTGGCCGTCGCTTGTTTCTTCAGTTTCGGTCCAAGATTAGAGTCTCCGACGAATCCTCAATATTGCGGGGGCGTGTTAAGCCTACTTGTGGCTGAGATTATATTTAGTATTTTATGTGTTCTATTTTCTTTCCTGTAGACTAGCGTAGTTACAACTTCTCCCTAATTCTGCTCTGTTGTATCACTATATATAGTCTGTAATTTCTTCATCATTAATGTCAAGTATCATTTCTTCCCAGCCTTTACAGTTGGGAGTTCGAATCCCATTTCGTATGAAAAAACCAATCCGGCCAGCATTTTGTCTAGTGTGGCCTGAAAAACTGGAAAACTAAACTCATTTATGATTGAATTTTAATATCGATATCATAATAAATGAAATCGAAATGTTTTGTGACAATAAGAATGATTCATATATTTCACTTCAAATAAGATACAAATGAAAAACTAAACTCATTTACAAAAAAAATATGACATTTTAATTTATAAAAAGATGAGGTTATAATAAATATAAGTTAGAAGTTAGATTTTCAAATAATTACAATATATATATATATATATATATATATATATATATATATATATATATATATATATATATATATATATATATATATATATGGGCAATCAAGTGTAGCCATGTTGTTAGGTGTGGTCATAGGGTCAATTACAAGTCATTAGATTAGATAGATTCAATAAATCACATTAATCAAGATTCTTCCAGTATTTTCGCGCACGTTCTCCTACCCAGCGAACTGCAAGGGTAAACTCGTCATATGACACCGGAATAAGGGAAATCACATTGTTGTGTGTTTTATTTGTGTAATTGGTGCATTATTAGCCTTACTCTGGTGTATTTGTAGATTCCCATTGGTGCGTGCGGCAATGCCTTCCCGTGTGGTCAGTGCGGCCGCACAAATTGTTATGCAAATATACAACATCCATGTTATGAAATGCACAGCAAAAAACATGCACAAATTAGGTACGCATCACCAAAAACGCGTCATTAGATATGAATACATACACCATACAGTGTTCGAGAATACATATTGGTGTGTTTCACTGTGGTGTGTTTTATTACACTATTGGTGCATGTTGTCAACACTGTTGGTGTATTATGGAATCCGACCGCTATAAATGACCACTGTAATTACCATAACAACCCCACTTACCAAAACGCGCGAAAATCCTCAGAATTAACTAGGGGTGTGCAAACTTCGGAGAATTTTCGGTTAATCGACCGAACCGACAAAGTTTGGTTAACCATTTTTAATCGAACTTTTTCAGTTCGGTTAATGGTTAAAGAAATTTCAAAATTTCGGTTAACAATTAATTCGGTTCGAAAGGTCGGTTAACCAAAATTTTTAATATATATATAAATAAATAAATAAATATAAATAGTAATTGTGTAATACTAATATAAATATATAATGGACTATGGATGTTTAGACTTTGGATTTTTTATTGAAGATTTGAAGTTATGGATGAATTTGTTATGATATGTATTTTATTTTAGTTGGATTTATTATTTTATGTGATTTTTAGGATTTTAAATTTTAGCTTCAAAAGTTCGGTTAATCGAAAAAAAATTCGGTTCGGTTAATTCGGTAACACAAATTTCGGTTCGGTTAACAGTTTCTATTATCAAAGCCCGGGTACCCGGGTATTATAATTGCATAACTGTACATTTATAATTACATAACTGTACATTCATAATTCCGTAACTGTACATTCATAATACAATAACTGTAAAATCATAATTTTCAAAGCTCGATGTTCACAATTTTAGAGCTCTATGTTCATAATTTTATCACTATATGTTCATAATTGTAAGTTGATAATGTCAGAGCTCTTTGTTCATAATTTTATAACTTACATTCATAATTCTATAACTGTACATTCATAATCTCATAACTGTACATTCATAACGCCACAAACGAATAACGCCGTTAACGGCGCTAACAGCGAGACAAAATCAATTTTTTTTTAACTGAAATGACGCGTTTTCTTTGAAAACGACGTCGTTTTGGACTCGTGTCCACAATGCATTGTGGACACGAGTCCACTGCATAATTTGCCGTTCGGGCAAATTATGCTGTGCATCCGTATGCACCATGCATGGTGCATACGGATGCAAAAATGACGTCGTTTTATTAAAAAACGCGCGTCTCACTTAAAAAAAAATAAATTCAGTTTTGATTCGCAGCAACAACATTATATTGTGCATAATTTGAACTATATATCCAGAATCAATGAACTAAAATTCCAGAATCGATGAACTAAAATTCTAGAATCTATTAACTAAAATTCCAGAATGAATAAACTAAAATTCCAGAATCTATGAACTAAAATTTCAGAATCTATGAACACATAATGCTGTTGAGGGGAATCGAAACTATTTTTTTTAAGTGGAATGCCCGTTTTTAATAAAACGATGTCGTTTTTGCATCCGTATGCAGATGCATTTACCCTAAATCATTAAAGCCCCCCCCCCCCCTTTTTTTTTTTTTTTTTTTTTTTTTTTTTTTTGTTTTTAATTTGATCTGGTCCAAATGGCCCAAAACCCAGGCCTAAACAATGGAATAGAGTTAAACCCTAGTGAACCTTGTCTCTTATGTATTTCTGCAAAAAGGAAGACCTGAAGCGCTGTGCAAAGAAGGCCGAGACCAAGGCGCAGCGTCAATCGACGACTACTATCGCCGCCACGCCTGCCGTCTTCCGCTGCCAGCAACCAGCGCGACTACTGCTGCCGCCGCGCCTGCCGTCCTCCGCCGACGAAAACTAGCGCGACTACTGCCGTTGCCTCCAACCGCCCAAGCACCGGCGACTACCACCTCCGCCAGAGCTACGACTAACCCGGGGCGGAGATCGAAGGCGGATATCGGCCAAAAACAGGTATCGTTTTTTTTTTTTTTTTCGAAAAAAAATATTTGTGTATGCCGAAAAATATATACATGTTTCTTTTAAATTTCGAAAAACATGAATTTATTCATTTTATAGAATATGTGTAAACAATTTTTTTTTTTCAAAAATCATGTATTTACATTCGAGAAAAAAAATTTCCGAATACGAGTGTATGATGATTCTTTCATCCTTTATTTCTTTTGAGAAATATATATGTATACACACTGAAAATATATATAGAATATGTATAAAAAAATTTATTTGATGCAATAGAGTACCGGATGCATTTTGATATACCGGAACATTGTCCGGATACATATACATCCTGTGCCACTTACATATCTACTAGTATTGTACCCAGAAGTAATGTTACTTAAATATTACGGAGTGACATATATAATAAATTGTAAATAACAACATTCTTAATAATAATATACTGATGTTTCCCATGACTTTATATTTGGATAAACATACACTTTTATTTGTAAACTGGATTGGTTTAATTATTGTAAACTAAGTGAAGAGTTATTTTATTTACATTAAAAGGTTTGGGCATTTATATCTCTAACATATTGAAATTAAACCATCACAATGTAAAAAATCAAATCAATCAATTTAACTAAAAAAAAACACTCACCAATATTACTTAAATATTAACATATATAATAAATTGTAAATATTAAAAACTTAATAATAAAATAAATAATATACTGATGTTTATATTCATTATTTATTTATTTATATTCAGTATTTAATTACATATATTAAAAAATAAGATGACTCTTTTTAATGTAAAAAAGATGTTGTTGCGGCTCGTAGTTGGTGAAAATTATGATTTATTTGCATCCTTCATCTTTACTAATGAATTTTCCCATTATACTTAATTATATTATTTGCTTTCATAAATAAATTACCGATTCTTGAATTTTCCCATTATACTTAATTACTTTATTTGCTTTCATAAATAAATTATCGATTCTTGATTTTCATTTTCCTTTTTTTTTTGAAATGATGTAGGAGGATTTTGTTTATATATATATATATATATATATATATATATATATATATATATATATATATATATATATATATATATATATATAATAAATGTTTTCCCACTTTGGAGGAAAAATTATTTGACCCGTCATTTTGCTTTAATATATAATATAGAGAATATAGAGATAGAGATGTTTTTATTTCTTTTGAAAATCATGTGTTTATGCATACTGTAAAATATATAAACATATGCACATATACAGAATATGAATTCTGAAAAATATATATAAATATAAATATATACACATTATAAATACAGTAAACATGGATTGTATGTATTTTATTGAATTGGAACACATCAAAAATTTTATATCAATCAATGAAATTGCATATAGACTGTGAATCCCATAATTCAATTATGCAAATATGGGCAACTTGAATAATTAGAAACTATAACAGAAAATAAGCATACCGTTCACCAAAGATTTATATTGTACTGATAACATGTTTTGATGAATGCCCTTTAGCTCGCAGTGTTCTCCGGTAAAACGGATCGATAATAGTATAATGTAAAGTGCATAATGAAAGAGAGAATAAGATGTAATAGTAATCTTTCATTCCAACATCAGCAATTCAGCATCTTCCTTACAAATGGTGTACAACATATATATATATATACATATATATATATATATATATATATATATATAGTAATAATAATGACAACATTAATGCTAATCGTTATAGCGGTTATGAATTGAATGTCCATAATGTCCATCATAATAATATATTTATACCAAAAAAGTAACACTTTGAGAGACTTTGGAAGGCCTTGGAATATTTATGCCATTATTATTGTTGTTGTTGTTGTTGTATCCATATCAAATGATAACTTTGCCATTATTATTGATGTTGTTGTAGCACAAAGACATTTTAGTCTTTATTCGTCTCTTTTCTTTTAATTTCCGGTAATTCCATCAGCCTACCAAATAATAGAATTTGAATTCCTACTTTATTCTAATTTAGGATCTGTTTGGAAACTCGAAAAAGAAAAAGAAAAAAGAAGAGGGTTTTGCAAAACCCTAGAAAACCAGTTCGTGACGAGGAAGACGACTGTGAATTGAGAGTTTCGACAATGGCGATGTCTATGAGACGTGCACTATTGTGCTACCGCAACCTCGCCGTGATCCTCCGTACCACGACATCTCAGACTCGCCATCTCTCTTCTTTAGTTGGCGGCTCTTCAGCTAGTCTCCTCCGCCGCTCTGCCACTTCCGACGCGGGCCCTTACTTTCTGGCAATGAATTATCTACTCGAAAGTCGCAGAGGCTTCGCCAAAGGAAGAAAGAACATAAGTACGCCAGTCTACCTTTTCATTTCTTTATATTCATACACTAGATTGCATTTCCTAAGCATCCTAACTTGTCGTTCACCGAGACCGCAGTAAGTCAGTGAATATTCATTTTTTTTTTTTTTTTTTTGGTGTGTTCTTCACTACAAATTCTAGAGGAAGAGGTAGACAGTGATGAAGATAATGAGAGCACAACAGAGTCTGTGAATGTTGGCCCTTCAATTAAGGCTGCCTCCATCTCACAAATGGAGGCAGCAACAGAATCGCTGTCTCGAGAATTGGCAAAATTACGAACGGGACGAGCATCGGCAGGTACATAGACAGCTAACTCTGTTGTTAACTTCTGATAACATTTATATTGGCTGTTGGGTATTAGTTTATTCGATTGAATTTGCAGGAATGCTTGACCATATTATTGTTGAAAGTGGTGGTGTAAAAACACCTCTTTGCAGGATGGCTGTTGTTTCAGTCTTAGATTCAAAAACACTGTCTGTTACTCCTTATGATCCAGATGTAATGTTTTCAACCTGTTCTGATAAATTTCTTATTTCCTTGGATAATCTGTGAAATTGATATCAATTTGAATCTCTTAATCTGCAGTTGTATTATGTAACATAGATGGCTGAAAATGTACAATTGAATGGTAATTGGCTTTTGCAGACCTTGAAAGAATTGGAGAAGGCTATCGTTTCATCACCATTGGGATTAAATCCAAAGGTGGATAATGAGAGGTTAATTGCACCTATACCTCCGTAAGTACTGAACTACGGATCGTCTGATCTATTTATTTTTGTTCTACACTGAGTTTAATCTAGATAATGCCAATCTTGAAATAACACATGAGATTCAATTATACCTTCCTTCAAGTCAAATATTTACTTCATGTGGAATAAAAACTCATTTATGTAAATGAACTCATTGATTTCCTTAGCTTGGAAAACTTAGAACACATTTTAGTTTTCATTTATCTTACTTCTCTTATTCTCTTGAAACAGGCTAACAAAGGAACATATGCAGGTACAAACTAATAAATTTCTTTTTTTCTTTCAACTTTATGCTTTCTATTGCTATATTCATGTTTTTTCATTCTAGGCTGTGTGCAAGGTGGTAGCTAAATCATCCGAAGATGTTAAACAAAGTATAAGAAGAGCCCGCCAGAAGGTAATGCGTACAAATTATAAAACATTGAACATGTACTTTCTTCCCTCATACAAAGACCTTCATTTTTTTGGAGTACATATGAATGATTATGGTTATACCGTAGGATTCCAGATGATGGAGTTTTTGATTTAAAATTTAAAAAACACTGGTGAATGCATTTTCCAATGACTTCAAAGAAAAACTGTCCAATTTACTAATTTTTTCTTGTCTTGTTTGATAACATTTTGGAATTTCTTGTCTTGTCCCTGTTTCATTTCTTTCTTGAAAATTCGGTGATCACTCAAGTTTCTGCCCCCTATTTAGGCACTGGACACTTTAAAGAAATATACACCAAAAAAGAAGGACAAAGACAAGACAGGTTCAACTTTATCTGTAGATGACGCAAAAAGATTGGAAAAGGAAGTAAGTCACTTTAAATAATGACTTATAATTCTACTGTAGAAATATATGTCTAACATATAAAAGTATGTGTGATTCTTTATCACTATGTTTTCAGATCGACGACTTGACTAAGAAGTATATAAAGTCTGCTGAAGATATGTGTAAATCAAAGGAAAAGGAAATAACAAGTGGTTGAATCTTAAAAAGTTTTGAGTTGAAAGCAATTGCACAAGGAGTCTATTTTCTGAGGATGTTAGAGTACTTGGAGCTTTGGGAAAAAATTCTCGAAATTATTGTTTCTATACTGGAGTATATGCTGGAAACTATTTTGTTATCAGGACTTGATGTCTTGAGCTTACTACATTGGAGTTATGCTGAAAAGAACTCAATTATATGTTGTATGGGGGAGCAAGTGGCCTACTTCTCCATTTAATTTAGTTTGTTAGAAATTAAATTAGTTTGTTAGAAATTAAATTAGTTTGTTAGAAATTAAAGCAATACATGGTTCATGCTTAGCATTAGCATTATGTAGGATGGATGCAGTATTTTATGGGAATAATGGGAGCAATGGCTTCATAGACCTAAATTTTAGCTTTGTTATTTCACTATAAATAGGATGTAATCATGCATTTCAAATGTCAAGCAAGTGCAATAACTATTCGAATTTTTATTCCTCTCTCTCTCAATTATATTATAGATATATTACTAGTATTTTTTTGTACGATGCACGGTATGAAAAATACAAACATAAATGTTATGGTCTCAAATCAAGAGTTATTAGGAAAAGGGTCAAATAGGCTCTTGAATTTTAGCTTAAAAGTTAATTATTAACCTCTAAAGGTGTAATTACACCCATCAACAATTCATTTAGGTGCAATGAAGTCCAAAAACAAGTTAATGACCTGTTATCAAAGGTCATTAGGGTTCAGGCCACCTTCCGGCAGCAACCGACCCAGATTTGCAGAAAATTTCACTGGTCACTTCTTTTGTCGAAAATTTCGATCACTTTTTTTTTTTTTTTTTTTTTTTTTTTTTTTTTTTTTTTTTTTGCCGGAAGGTGACCTGAACCCTAATGACATGTGATAGCAAGTCATTAATTTGTTTTTGGGCTTCATTGCACTTAAATGAATTGTTGATGGGTGTAATTACACCTTTAAAAAGTTTAGAGGCCTAATTGACTTTTAAACTAAAGTTCGAGGGGCTATTTGACCATTTTCCTAGAGTTATTTAGTTTTAAAAAGTTAATTGGTAATAATAATAATAATAAAACAAATCAAAATTGCAAATTACTAAAAAGTTCTTTGTAAACCATATTAGTGGATGACTTACAACATTTTCCTACTACAATTAAAATTTTTAAATCATTTGAATTGTTTACTCTTGAAGCAGTAACATGCACGCACAAATGTTGGTTTCATTAATAACAACCCCCATGTGATAATATTTGAATAAATTTAATTTTTATGGAGTAGTAAATTTTATTGATTAGTATTCCTAATTTTGTCAAAGTAACCTGTTTTTTTTTTTTTTTTTTTTTTTTGCAAGAACTAATTTGCCCACGTGTTCACTTTTCTCATTTCCCACTTTCCTCTCGTTCAGGTTCTAGAATTTCCAGTCGCACACCCAACACTAAATTCAGACATCCCAGACCACATCTCCTATTTTCTTCCTTTCAATTCTGTCGCAATGCTATCACCTTCTGTTTACCAAACTGAGATCGTTGGGTTCCTTCGCCAGAAGCCATTTTTTAGAAAATCAGTTTGTACAGTGAAATAGAGGGGTGATCGAAAAGATCTTCCACCATCAAGTCATCTTTAAGATCCATGCCCAAATATAGAGATAAGTTGCCGCCTTCAGTTACCTTCAAGATAATTATTAAATTTCATAGATTTAATAAGATTTAGGGTTGTAGAAGATAGTTGGTACTTAGATTCTAGATATAGGGTTTTTAAAATTGTTTTATAAATACTTGATACTACTGTTATAGACTTATTGTATTGCATGCTGATTTGTAGCTCAAAAGAATCCTAATTCAGTTTGAATAATTTTTTTGCACATGCAAATAGGTACTTTAATTTCTATCACATAAAATCAACCAATATATTCTTGTAGTTACGTAAATGTAATAGAGTTTCTGATGTAGTCTTTCTAGTGTATTTTTGCACGAGAATTTTTGAAAACTATGTGATAGAAGACCTCGCGGTGAGCACAAATAGTGACTGCATATGGCGATAACAAAAAGGTTAAAAAAAAAAAAGCAGTAGTAAGGTAAATTGATGAAATTGTTTGTTGTGAATTGTTTCCTATCACTTTGGATTTCGTGAGCTTCTTCATAGTAGTTCCTTAGAGTTTATAATTTTGGAAAATGACAATGTTTTGATTTCTACATTTTGATGGATATAAAGACATGTGAAGAACAAAGTTTTGAAAAAGTAATAATTAAGAGTGATTTTTAATATTCTGGTGTGATAGACATTCATTAAATTTATGTATGAGTACAATATGTTTTCAACAGAACATTTTTATATGATATTTGTATACTCTTTCTTCATATCTATCTAAGATTTTTTAATGTTTTCCTAAGATGGTGCAGTTGCCTTTGCAGGTTGGAAAGTATTACCACCTATCATAACTTCTATGAGATGGCAGTGAACAAAAATTCCATAAGGTATTGGGTCAACACAAAAAAACTTGGGAGATTTAGTTGAAGATGACATACGATATGCGAATTCTTTACTTAATGTTATTTTAAATTATATAATCATCTAGAATTTCAACTATATGTTAGTTTGCACGCTTAGATGTAGAGTTTATAATGTTCATTCTAAATTCCAGAACTGACAACCTTCTTTAAATTTCACTAAACCTTCTTTAAATTTCACTAAATTTCTCTAAATTTCAAATCTCTTCTGTTGTCCAGCTCTAATGACCTAGAATTTTCATTCTCTTATTACAGTTACTCTTATCTTTATCAATCTCTTTTCATTTTTGACATGCTATCCTTTGACCAATCTGAAATGGGTATTTTGTACCGTATATAACTCTTGTGTTCTTCGTCTTATGGTATGGTCAACATAGTTTGCACTCCTATGCATGTATTTAGCTATGAAATCTAACGAAAAACATTATCTGTACATATCTGTTACTACTATTGAGAAAATGGCACTGGTTGGTACCTTCGTTCTGAGAAGGATTTTAAAAGGGTCATTATAAAGATTAGTCTGAAAAAGATAGCAAAATCCTTAACTATTAAAGATTTTAAAAAGTCTCAAAGTTTATAAAAAAAAATTAAGAAAAGCCAAACATGTCTTCAATGTTTGAAGGGACCACAACCGAAACACCAAAACAATGATTCAACTTAAAATTTCTTTAAAAGTCAAACTGCATCATCAAATGTGTTCTCCAACTTGTTCTATCGGTAGTTTCTTTGAAGAAGTCTTGCTTGAGGAAAACTCATCTGATAGACAATGCTTTGACAACTCCCCGAGTCTAGATCCTCAACTTCCTTCACAGTCCCAATTAAGGCCAAGGGATTTTCAGCCTCACCTTATGAAAGGAACTCCTGAAAAAGAAAACTTTATTAATTTTAATATAGGACAAACATAGATTTTCAATTGATATAAGGTAAAAGTATTTCAATTTTACCTCATATGATTCAAATAGTCCTTGCTCCAGCTTAGAAGTTGGATCATTGTCAAAGTTTTCCAGTAATTCAGGATAGTAGGAATCAACCAATGAACGATCGTAATAATCTTCATAATAGCGAAGGCATTAGGAAGGTTATCAAATTGTTCTTTTCTCACGGAAATCTTAAAAATCAGTGTCATGGAACACAGCGATAAAATCTCATTTGGGGGTAGTCGCTTATCCTATAAGTCAAGAATTAGATATAGTTAATACTTAATAGTAAGCTTTAGACTTTGAAAGTAAACTCATTTAATAAGTAATTGTGCATTACCTGTGGATATTTTCCTCTCAGTTCTATAGCCGACATGCCTATCAATTCCTTACACTCATTGTCCCATAAAAGGAATGGTGCATTACCATCCTTGTCAACAACTCTCACTTTAATTATGTACCTCAAATACCTTCTCCCCATGTTCTTTTACACTTGTAAAAGTCATAGAAGCCCTTCGTATTCAAGGAAAGTTTTTTGTTTGTGTTACATCCATGTGTCTTGCATGAGTTATAACACCAGTCCAAACCACTTTCTATTCCAAGTCTAGAAGAATATTGCTTATATTATAATAAGTAATAGACTTTAGAAAAAACAATACATGTCTTTTTTCCTACACATCACTTATGGTACTCATAATCACAGACCCACGGTTGAATGTGTCAAAAGTATTGGCAGCAGACAGACTTGCATTAGAACAAATACTCCGCATAGGAGACTTCTCACCACACATACTAAAGTGAACACAACAGAAAGTAAGAATAAAAAAAAAAACTCACAAACTAAAAAAGTTTGAAGACAGAGGACAACGCCGTGAAGGAGGCGGCCGCGATTGGGTTTCAGAGCGTTGAGAAGCTTATCAGATTGCTTTCTCAATCGCAGCCGCAAAGTAGTAGTGGGTTTCTTCTACCATTCATGGTCAAATTGAAAGTCAACGATGAAAACTGGTAAAGGTTAATAGTCAAAAGGATTATTTATGTCCCGTTGAAAGTCAAAAAATAAAGATTGGTCGGTAGTATTGTTTCTTAAAATGAATGGTTCATATTATTTTGATTTTAGTATTTTTTTTAATGATTTTCCTTATTTACCCTATATTATATTATTTTATTCCCTTAAATAACACTAAATTCCGTTAATATATAGAAGGGATAGAATTAAACCAAAAACCTGGACCATAAACTTCCCTAGCTAAAGCATGGGCAAGCTTGTTCGCTGATAGACTAAGAAACTAATAGTAGTCAAATAAATCAAAATTGACGGATAAGCTAACTATGTTACCAAACATGGCCAATAGAAAGTTTCCACAAAGAGTTAAATTTGATATTGTTATTAATTTAACTGTTCGATCAACTTAGTAATTGTCTCTTATGCAATTGTACAAAACAATATATGGTTGGATGTTTTCCGACTGTTTGGAGAGGAATTCTTTGGTTTTGGTGAGAAAGCGGAGGGGGTTGTCGCGGAGAAGGAGGTGCTCCAAGTGGTGTACAATGGTAGTATTTACCTTTCCCTAAAATCAATTATTTCATGAATGTCTTCATTTATAAATAATTGAGTCGCATCATATGAAGATGAAATTTTAGTTTCACCAGCTATTGAAAAAGACAGAGTAATTTGTATTAATGAAATAATAAAAAACTACATTGCTATAAAATCAAGTAGAGATGTGAACTTACTGTTGAAGCAGGTTTTTGCCCTACAAAATTGCATCAAAATAATGACAGGATCAGTCGTACTTTTTTTGTACCAAGAATCGACCTTATCAACATGGTCGTCCCAGACAGTCCATTTCATTTTCTCACCACTAAACACACAAAAACAGTTTAGTATCCAAAAAAAAAAAAAAAGGATTACAATAAAATTATGAACTAACACATAATATACCTTTCATCCTCTATAAGAAAGTCTATCAACCGGGAAGGCCTTCCACCAATAGCCTTTTCTATAGGAGAATATATTTCAATTATCCTTCCAATCACATCTAAAAAACGGAAAGTTACAAAGAATTAAATCCAATATAAATACGATTGCAGTATCAAAAAAAAAATTAATGAAATAGATTATTTACCAATAAGTTCCTTGTCGTCTATCTCAGTTGATTTCAAAGATTTAAAACTTCTCAAACGAAACAAGTGCCTAGGAAAATATTGATTTTTGTACAATTTGTTATTGCTAGTCTTATATGTTAGATATACAATAGTCTAACTATAATAAACCATAGTATACGAGAAACCTGGCCTCGTATGAGAGCGGAAGCGTAGTCGTGTTGGTCTCCAGCCATAGTTGATGTTCTTATTGTGTTGCCTCTTAACGGTAGACCGTTAGCCATGTTTTGCCTCAGACCTGACTCAGAACCCTAGATGGTGTATTGGTGTCTACTGAGCGGTCTGAGTACCGTAACTGAATGTGCTATCTAATCCATAATCCTGTATCCATCAATCCAGGTTTATATTAGGCACAGAGTTTGGTTGACTAACAACTACTAGTTATTAAGTCCAACCAGACCACTTAATAAGCCTAGTCAACTTGCACCACTTAATTAAGGCCCTAATATATAATATATAATATATAATATATAATATATAATATATATTATTAGGGAAAATCTTACATTCTCCCACTTGGTGCAAGTACTAGCACAACCATCATCAAAGAACAAAATCCACGAATCATAGTGATATGTCCTCTATTTAATCAGAGTAGTATCCATTATGGTTACATGCATTTTAATTCTCCAACTTAGGTCCTTAATGAACAAACCCTACGTTTATTCTCGGTACCTTAAGGGATGTTTCTCAAAATACATTATGTGCACAACTGAAGGAGAAAACGCATCCAAATTGTACAAAAGAGTACACTGTATGATCTCTAAAACTTTATAAGCATGCCTTAAGTAGAGATCTCTTAATGTTAGCATAATGCTAAATATATTCCATGACTTCTTTATAAGTTAACTTTAAGTACTATCTCTAACAGCTAAGAGCTTGGAGTTGACACGTCTGTCACTCCCACTCATCAAAAATAGCCAAAGATAGTCAAGTCACAGAAGCATTCCAATAACTTAGACAATAAACCAAACGTCTTAAGTCCATAAATTTGGAATCTTAAACATACACCATAACTTCCCAAATAACTTCAATGGTCACTTTAAATGAACTGAACATAATGAGTCTTACTTATATGTCCCACAAAATTGTTTTGAGCCTTACAAATCAAAATGGCCCAGGATAAATTTTGAAGAAACTAAAGACTCTATTAATCACTGAAGAATTTATTAAATGATAGTGCACCACAAGTTAAATGTTTTTGTTCTAATAAATTCCTTGGTTACAACATTTTCATAAATATGTTGCACAACCAAATGTTCAATAATTTGAACTTATGAATTTATATGAACAAATACAAGATTAATACTTGTGGAATAGTTTGGACTTATTGTTTGACATACAATCCAAAAACTTTAGTGGAGTATCTTAATGATCTTTTTCTAAATGATCACTCCCACTGATTAAGATATTCTTCAGCGAAATTAATAAAGTGAACTTAAAAATATACATACTCATAATTGATTTATTGACCAACTAACAAATGAAGACATAATTCCCCACCATTAGTTGGACATACTAAATAATCAATTTTTGGTTCCTATTAAAGTCCAACTAAATAATGAAGATATGTTTCCCCACCATAGTTGGACATACTAAAAAAAAACAAAATACACCTCCCAAAATCAAAGTAGAATTTAGCTTAAAAGATACATTTTATTATTATTATTGGAATCCAAGAGGTATGTCAAATCACGTAACTTACTACAGTTAGTCCGAAGAACCAAGCAAGATTAGTGGATTAATTAATAGAAGTGGCTAAATTTTGGGAAGTGACTGAAAACATATTTTGCCAATGCAAACCATGAATTTTAGAATTATAATTGAGCTAAATTTATAATTTCTAAGAATTGTGAAAAAATTATTATCTAATGGGTTGAAGGATTTATTGACATAAAACTTGCCTGTGGGCTAAAGTTTTACTCAATTAGATCCAACTGAAAAATTTATTTATGATGAAACCATTATCAAATGAGTTGAAGAATCAAATGACATAAAACTTGCCTGTAGGCTAAAGTTTTAGTCAATAAAATTCATTACTATCATTATGATAAAAAACTTAAGAGATTATGTTCCTTTTCTTAATCCCTGTGGGCAAATTAAGAAATATGATCTAAAGTTTACATCATAAAATTAAACTTCATGATAGAATTGGAAATTATTTACAAATAACCATAAAGTAAATAAATTGATTTATTTCTATCGTCACTGATAAAACTACTAAACTACATTCCGATACATAATTGCCTGTGGGCTAAATTATGACCGTAGTCCAGTATTTCATCCTGATTAATCATACAAACATAACGAAATTGCCTGTGGGCTAAATTTTATCATATTACATACAATTAATCACAAATGATATGTCCAAAACTTTATGTGATCAAAATAAACCGCTTAATATATAATTTTAACAGATTAAGGATGCTGTGGCTACTCCCAAACCAAATTAAAATTATAATATCACTAGACAATTATCAATTCCTTGCCTAAACTTTATGTGATTGAAACTTAACAATCTTAGGTAGCTGAATATGCTGTAGCATTTCCGTAATTAACCAAGATTGAAAACTCAAGATATTTCAGTAAATTAAAGATGCTTTGGCTATTCTTTAATGAACCGAAAACAAATCACATTCGCAAGGAATACTTAAAATTTTGACAAACAGATTATACCAGATTATGATGGGAAAATCTAAATATACTCCAAGGAAAGGTGGTTAGAGACTAAGTCTCACTGAAAACCAATTCCTTAAATAGAGTATCAATTTAAGGAGACTAGTGGCTCAAGATGTCCTTAACCCATGGCCATTAAAACTAGTATGTCTCCCCGATTCATATATACTTAATGTATAACTGTTTGGGGGTATGAACCTAAAACTGTAGAGTATACACCAGTAAACTGTATGGTTCACCTATGATTAAAGCTTAAATGGTGAATTAAAAATAGCGGACTAAACGTGCTTAAATTCAGGCACTACCGCAACTAAAGTTTATGCGTAAGTCCAACTTAAATAAGGAACTACTATAATTCCATCACAAAGTATGCATTGCTAAAGGCATAATAAAATTGCATAATTTAAAAACATAATATTATGCGGTGGACAAATATGCATAAAATTAAACATTAAAGTCATATATTCCAAATAAATTGCATAACTTAAAGCAATTTACAATATGAGATTTTAAAGTATAAACTTAATATTCAAACACCGATGAGTCCAAACCAAAAGAGACCCAACATTTTGAATAATAATGTACTGAATATATACTTTAAAATTTTTTAAACTGTAAGCCCATCGGAAAATGTTTTAATGCATAAAGATAAAATTTATGAGAAATAACTGTATTTACAAATTCAAACAATATCAAACCAAAAGGATATGCTAGCATTTGTAAATTAAAATCTCATAAACCCTAATTACATAATTAAACTTAATATTATGTACTTAATGTGATCGAATGCATAAAACAATCTAGAAAGTATGAACCAACTAAAGAATATGAATTTATACCAAATATTCATACTTAACCAAACATGGGCAACCAGAACTAAAATCATAATTCCAAGAACTAAATGAATTATGGAATTAATGGCAAAAGTCAATTGCCTAGAAAACATGTTTTCCAAGATTACTAAATTGATTCAAAATCACTTTCCATAACCCAGCTGATAATATTATTATTATTAATGGCAAAATTGCAAATAATCAAAATAGCAATAAATAACCATAATAATATTATCACATTATATAGGAGACTAGATATGGAGAAACAATGGTTAAAATCGCTAACATTAATAAACGTTTTCGGATAAAATTTTGAAAACTTAATAAAATTTGAAGTCCGAAAAATATTAATGTCAAGAAAACTATTTTCTTAACTGGAATATGGTCACATAAATTTATTTGAAAACAGTTGAAGATATATATCTGAATACCATAACAATATAATGTCATCATTAATTAATTATTAATTATTAATAGTAATAAGTAACATTATAATCACTATTAACATTAATAATAACGACAAATCAGAGTATGGTGATGCACCTTTTAATGTTTCCATTTTTCTAAAGATAAACTATGCGACTAGTCCAAACTAGCGGTTAATTGTAACTGTAGCACTAATTATCAATAACAACCATAAAAGATAATTAATGACTAACCTTAATGATGCAAACCGCATCTCTCCATTGCGCTAACAACGATGATGATCCACAATGAGAAGAAAAACTCCAGAATTCTCCCAATATTCACTATCGATGTCAATAAACTCGATGCAGCGTCCAATGGTACATTAAAATTTATTGGTAGGACTTAATTACCAACAATAATAGTCATGTAAAATGAAGTGGTAATCATGACAATGTACCAAATATAGCATATTACCATGAAATGATAATTATTATGAAAAGTAATAAAATGAGATTAGTCCCTAAACTTAATAACAGTAATTAATAATGCCAATTAATAATAAATACAGTAAAGGCAAAACTGTAATTAAGGGATGTCAAATACTAATCTCAATTTTACCACATAATAATTAATCATGACTATTATGATACTTCGGGAGACTAAAGTTAAGGTAATAACCAAATTACCATTATATAGACAATATACCAACTATATTGCTTTTGCCATAAAATTAAAGACTTAATATTATTATTAAGGCCCTGAAAAACTATTGATAGATTAAGAATTTAATCAACTTAAACAATAGTACGTTATAGTTCTTAATGACCAAAATAACAATTAAATCCTTAATGTCTCTAAACAGGCCAAAACAATAATTATAGTACTTAATCACTCAAATTAGGCACATAAACCTCAATGACCCAAGTGAATTATAACATGAATAAAAATGGTCTAAGTACTGAAATAGACCCAAAACTTAATATTATTACCAACGATGAATACCAAAATATGGTAGTTAGTAATAATTAAAATTTAATAAACATGTTATAAAAAGAGCTACAATTATTATTTAAATATCAATTAAAATAATGAGATCCATACTTTAATGACCCAAGATAGGTCCCAAATAGCTTGTTTAAAAATAGGTTCTAAAGTCCCAAAGACACATAAAACTAGAATGTGCTAAAAAATTAAGGGGAAACCAAAACAAGCTACTTTAGTAGGTCATAATATCTAAAATTGGCCTAAGGATCCAAAATTGAATGATATTAAAAAATGAATTTATGAGTTAATAATATGCTAAATTCAACCTTAATGCATGCTATTATGAATGTATAACAATAACAATAATTTATGAATATACGTAGCATGCTATTATGAATGTATAACAATAACAATAATTTATGAATATACGTAGCATGCTTGAATTTGCATATTAATATATTATTAACCCATATATCTTAAATAAATTGCAATACTTAAAGAAAGTTAATATAAACCTCAACATTAAATTAAAATTCAAATAGCAAATTTAAAACTTAATATTTGTCCAAAAATGAATGATAATTTAATAATTATTTAAGGAGAAATTAATTGAACAATTAACTAGAAGAAGTCTAAATATGATGATGGAATACTCAAGCAAGCCCAACAATCCAAAACAGGCCAAAGAGTTTTTTTTTTTTTTTTTTTTTTAAGCATTTGGACCAGGTCTGCCCAAATGGGCCTGACCTGGCCCAAATTTAATTCCATAATCATCTTCATCTTTTAACCAGCCTGAAGTCCTAACTGCCTTAGAACCAGCGTCCTCCGGAGCATTTGTCGCCTGAAAGAGGAAAAACAGCAATGGCACCACCTGAAGGAGGATGTAGCAACGGCCGGAGTCAGCGCCGCCTTAAGGATGGGAGACAGCAGCGGCAAACCAGAATCCAGCCCACCTCCGCCGTCTCTTCTTTGTTGCGACACCAACGCCACCGTCGAACACCTCAGTGCCATGGCGTTGTCCTCTCACAAAGAACTAAAGTCGCAGCTACAACGACCGCATGTTCTGGACGAGGAATGGCGACGGAGAACACACCGGTGACATCCTTAATGCCGGCGAGGGAAAAAAAACTGACGGAAGGAAAAAAAAAAAACAGAAAAACTGATTTTTTTTTTCTGTTAAAAAACTTTTCCGCCGTCACTCCATCCATCTTCAGTCGCCGGCGTGAACAACAACCGGAGTCCCAAAAATACCGGCGACATATTACCGACTCATTGATAAAACATGGCAGTAGGAGAAAGATTAATAATGTTGAAAATAATTTCAAAATTATGCTTTAGGCTCTTAAGATTAATTAAGGCAGTATCAATACTAATTAATTCACTCAAAACATACATACTAAATTGCTTAATTATATCATGACTGAATTGATATATTTTGTATGTATATTTCAACGAATTAATATATGAAACATATACAAAAACTTGATGTATATGAAAGATTAACTTAATATTGTTTTAGGCAAAACAATCATCCAGACAGAGATTATAAAGGCTCTGATACCAAATGTTAGATATACAATAGTCTAACTATAATAAACCATAGTATACGAGAAACCTGACCTCGTATGAGAGCGGAAGCGTAGCCGTGTTGATCTCCAGCCATAGTTGATGTTCTTGTTGTGTTGCCTCTTAACGGTAGACCGTTAGCCATGTTTTGCCTCAGACCTGACTCAGAACCCCTGGTGTATTGGTGTCTACTGAGCGGTCTGAGTACCGTAACTGAATGTGCTATCTAATCCATAATCCTGTATCCCATCAATCCAGGTTTATATTAGGCACAGAGTTTGGTTGACTAACAACTACTAGTTATTAAGTCCAACAAGACCACTTAATAAGCCTAGTCAACTTGCACCACTTAATTAAGGTCCTAATATATAATATATAATATATATTATTAGGGAAAATCTTACATTATAAGTATAAAAGTTAGTAACAACCAGAAAGTTTTTTAAACAATTAACTTTGCCTTTAACAAATCTATTCTGGAATTTAATAACATGTTCGCGGGGTATATGAGCATGTAAGACATTACCCTGCAATTACATTAAAAAAATATTGTTGTGATTTTGCAAATTACCCTGCAATTGATGAATTTATTTTCACAGATTAGATGCTTACCACACGATCATGGAACACGGATTCTCGACATTTGACAACTTTATTGCCCCTACATTCTCTAACTTCATATGTATGAATACATCTTACCTTCAATGCACACGTGGTTTTCATGGGCGTTATCTGACTGGCCAAAATGCAGAGAGGAGGCATACTTGAACTGATATTTTCGACTGATCTGACAAAGTGTTTGTAGTGATGTAGAATTACCGGGGTGCATATGAACTGATATTAGACTCCTTTTATAAGCCATGAATTAGAGTTCTATTATGAATGTTTATTTGGAACTGTCTATATTCATGCTAACGTTTTGGAATCCAAAAGGAATGAGGATTCATTGAATAATAATTGTAATTAAAAATGGCATAAACCATTTAAAAAAAAAAGTAAAAAGTAAAAATTAATTTTACCCATTCATTCACACTTTTGGTGGGAAAAATGTTGTAGCTAGGATTCTGCTTTATTATATATATATATATAATAACTAGTATTTGCGCACGTGCGTTGCACAGAATGAATTTGTTATAAAATTTTAAAAATATTTAGATCGATATATAATTGTATAAATTATAACATCGAATATTATATAATACGGAGTATAATTGAAGAATTGAGTTGCACCGTACCGATTATGTTTTCTGATGTTATCAATGCTTGAATTTGAGTAAATAATTGCCCAATTAATAGCTAACATGTAGATATACGCATTCGGTGTTACAACTTTAGTGATTTTATATATCAGTGTTTAGAATTTGTATTAATTGGGCTAATTAGCTCGTTGTCTAGCAACTCAGTTATATAAATTATTTATATAGATATATAGCAATTTTGTCATCTTTGTATATAAAAAAACATAATATCAATAGCTTGAATTATACATTATTGAAAATCTCTTTGTGGACGACATTGGTAGTAGTAACGGAATTTTATCTATCATCGTCTAGAATTAAAACCAACAGACCATCAGGATGGTTGATTCGGGAAAAAGTCACATACAATTAACCGTGATTAAAGACTGTTTTTTTTAGAAATAACTCAACATGAGTTAGTGTTTGGCCCTGACTTTTGTTGATAGCCATGACATATGCGAGCATCAACGTGAATTGTTTTCGTTAGAACTTGAAGGGCAATCTCGTATCAGAAGGGTGAAAGACATTTTAATTGAAGATTTTACTTTTATTAATAGTATAGCTATAGATTGGTGTAAATAATAATTAATAAATTATTATTTTCTTATAAAATTACATATAATTTCAAACGGATTTTCTAATTTATTAAGCAGAATTTATTTTCGTTATTCTCACAATTATAATGGTTTAATTATTCTCAAAATTTGATAATCATTATCTATTTTTAAGTACATATTAATTTTAATTTGTGAAGATTTTACTTTTATTAATAGTATAAATTTGTGTAAATAATAATTAATAAATTAATATTTCTTTATAAAATTACGTAGAATTTGAAATGAGGATTTTACTTTTATTAAAGTCATTTCATCAAGAAAATTAAAACTAATTAAATTAAATCTAATCATGCTATATTTATTTGTAACTGTATATTAATTTCATTTTAAAATCATTGGTTCACATATTTTAATTATTTATTTTTTCTTTAATTATTCTCATTGTAAACATAAATGATATTGCAATAATTAATTTATTATATTTATCAAATTATATATATATTTTTTTTAAATATAAAATTTTCTCATGTTTAGGGATTTAAAAATATTTAAAAATTATTTTTTATTAGTAAGTATTTTTATTTTTAAAATATTTTCCAGCAACCCAAACACTCCCTAAGTCTCTAATAAAAAACTGAAAAATAAAAATCATTTTATTAAGAAAATTAAAACTAATTAAAGTAAATCTAATCATGCTATATTTATTTGAAACTGTATATTAATTTCATTTTGAAATAATTGGTTCACATCTTTGAATTTTTTTTCTTTAACTATTATAAATAGAAATTATGATATTTATCAAATTGTATTTTTTTAAAATATAACATTTACATATGTTATGAGGGGTTAAAAAATATTTTAAATTTATTTTTTATTAGTATAATTTTTTATTTTAAAATATTTTCCAGCAATCCAAACACTCCCTTAGCCTCCGATAAAAAACTGATAAAGAAAAGTCATTTCATTAAGAAAATTAAAACTACGGAGCAATTCCGACGGACGAGAACAACAACCGCGATCTAACCCTTGCATGTGTGATGGCTTCGACGTCGGATGAGCTGGAGGTAGCAGGTCTGACGGCCAGGTGGGCCAATATGGTGCTGGCGGAAGAGGCGACGGCATTTATGCCGGACGAGGGGGCTGGTGCCGAGGAGGGGACCGGCAAGGTGGAGGAGTGTTGGGGGGTGGTGGGAAGGTTCTTGCCACGGAAGCTAGTCAGGTTGGAATTTATGAGTCAGGTTTTGGCATCGGTGTGGCAACCGGTGAGCGGAGTTGAGGCAACGGAGGTAGAGCCTGGTCGGTTCCTATTTGTTTTTCATCATGTAACGGACATGGAACGAGTTCTGAACGAGGGTCCCTGGTCTTTTGATAACAGTACGCTCGTGTGTAAACAGGTCCCTGACGGAGTTATGCCGGTTGATGTAGTGTTGGATACGGTGGATTTATGGGTCCAATTGCATGGACTGCCGAAGGGATATTCGTCTAGTCGGATTTTGGAACAAATTTGAAATTTCTTGGGAACGTTTGTGAAATATGATGATCGCTTCGACAATGCCCCGTGGAAGATGTACCACCGTATTAGGGTTTCGCTGCCTGTTGACAAGCCCTTGAAAAGACGAATGAACTTTATTAAACGAGATAAGACGAGTTGCTGGGTCATGTTCAAGTACGAATGCCTTCATACTTATTGCTATTTCTGCGGGATGCTAAGGCATTCGTATCAGTTTTGTCGTGGGGCAAGGGACTTGAAGATGCCGGTGGAGGAGTATTTGTATGGCCCGGAGCTACGGGCAGGAGGGACCCGTGGCCCTAGGCTGGTGGGGGGCAGCTGGCTTTTGCCGACGGGCCGGCAGGCCGTGGGGCGGAAACTGCAGGTGGATCGGGCGGAGGTGGGGCGGTCTTCGGGAAGTGTGAACCGGACCGAGGGGGTGGTTGAGGGGGAGGTGGTGGCGGTTGCCAAACGGCGCCGGGTGGAGGTGGATGGTGAGGGACGGAGGTGCGAGGGAGAAGATATTGTCATGGCCGAAATTCCAAAAAACTTGCAACTGGCGGGTACTGGTTCCCAGACCCGCCCGGATCAATGAGTACTCTAAGTTGGAACTGCCGTGGCTTGGGTAATCCCCGGACAGTTCGGGAGATTGTGGACATGGTGTCCCGGAAGCAACCCGACTTTGTATTTCTAATGGAAATTAAAGTGGCACGCGATCATGCAGAACGATTACGTGTTAAGATTGGTTATGAGGGACTGTTTTATGTTGATAGCGATGGGTTAAGTGGTGGTATAGCATTACTGTGGAAAAAGAATAGTACGGCCCGGCTAATCAGTTACTCAACGAACTATGTTGATGTTGGGGTAACTATTGCTGGCTTTCCTGAATGGCGAATGACGGGTTATTATGGGTTTTCTGAACGAACAAGACGCGCTGAGTCATGGGATCTTTTGAGAACACTCTCGGGCAGGTCGAATCTCCCGTGGGTTGTTATTGGTGATTTCAATGATTTGTTATATCAGAATGAGAAGAGAGGGGGAAATCCGCATCCGAATAGCCTCCTACGCGGTTTTGGGGAAGCTATTGAGGACTGTGGGCTTGCTCAGTTGCCTATGGTTGGTTATTCGTACACATGGGAGAAGGGGAAGGGGACAGTCAACTGGATGGAGGAGAGGCTCGATAAAGTTCTAGTGACGGATGAGTGGCGGAGTATGGTGATGGGGGCTAAAGTGATGAATCTGAGAACCCGGAAGTCTGATCACTCGGCTCTCTTTCTGGGGATTCAAGACTACGCTGGGGGTGTTGGGCCTCGTAGGAGGGGTTTTCGTTTTGAGATGGCCTGGTTGCACGATGAGGGGTGCAGGAATGTGGTAGAGCAGTCCTGGCAGGAGGGGAGGGGCCAGGGATTACAGAACTGTATTCAGTACTGTGGGACCCGGTTAACACGATGGGTGGAGACCGGTATCATAAGTACGGAAAACTGATCAATGAACTGACAAGAGAGCAGCAGCGACTGAGGGGGCGTACTGACCCGGCCTCCCTTGCTGAGTTCCAGTGCCTAGAACAGCTGTTAAGCTGTACTGAAGCTCAGGAGGATGCCTACTGGAGGCAGAGAGCCAAGCAACACTGGCTTAAGGAGGCAGATGCTAATACGAAGTTTTTCCACAGGTATGCCTCTCACCGAAAAAAGAAGAATACTATTTCTAGATTGATGAATGATAATGGGGATTGGGTTGAGGGGGATCCTATGAAAAATATTATTCTGGCAGTATTATAATCGTATTTTCTGTGCTGGAGCCCCGGGAACTGGGGAGGAATTTTTTGAGGGAATTGTCCCGCGAATCACGCAGGCACAGAATGAGTCTTTGTTACGTCCTTTTGAACTTGATGAGGTTAAGTGTGCATTATTTGCGATGTTCCTGGACAAGGCACCAGGCCCGGATGGAATGAATCCAGGCTTTTACCAACATGTTTGGGATGTGGTTGGGGGTGATGTGGCCAGTTTTATAATAAATTGTGTTGAGTCCTGTGATTTCCCACCTGGGTTGACTGAGACTGATATTGTTTTAATCCCAAAGAAGAAAACCCCTGAGTATGTCACTGACTTACGGCCTATAGCCCTCATTAATGTGGTATATAGAATTATGGCAAAGATGTTGGCTAACAGAATGAAGCCGTTAATGGAGGGAGTAATATCTGAGTCACAAAGCGCATTTATCCCGGATAGGCTAATAACGGATAATATATTATTAGCTGCAGAGGTGGGGCATTTTCTGAATAGGAAACAATGTGGAGTGGGGGGATGGAGTGCCCTTAAATTAGACATGGCAAAGGCATATGATCGGGTCGAATGGTCCTTCTTACGAAAGATGATGTTGGCCCTGGGTTTTCATGCTGGTTGGGTGGAATTGATTATGAAGTGTGTAACCTCTGTCTCATATAATATTCAGTTGAATGGTTTAAGGTGTGATCATATTGTACCCACTCGTGGAATAAGGCAAGGGGATCCATTGTCCCCATATCTATTTATTATTTGTGCAGAGGGTCTATCTTTGATGTTGCAGCAGGCACATAATGTGGGATCAATACATAGCTGCAGGGTAGCAAGAGGAGCCCCCCTGATTTCTCACTTATTTTTTGCAGATGATAGTTTACTGTTTTTTAAGGCCAAGGCGGAGGAAGCAACTGAGGTTAAAAAGCCTATCTGTTTATGAGAATTTATCTGGGCAGGCAGTAAATTATCATAAGTCGAGTATATGCTACAGCAGAAATACTAGTATCGAGGATAGACAAAGTGTGGCTCAGATTCTGGGAGTGGCACATGCATCGAATTTTGGCAAGTATTTGGGACTCCCCTCTTTTATTGGAAGACATAAAAAAGCAGTTTTTGCGTATGTGGAGGATAAAATCCGTCAAAGGATTGGGTCATGGAATAAAAAACTGCTATCACAGGCGGGGAAAGAAATTCTTTTGAAAACTGTAGCACAATCTATGCCTACGTTTTCAATGAGCGTTTTTTTGTTACCTGTATCAGTGTGTACGACAATAGAAAGGGCAATGAATCGTTATTGGTGGGATTCTGGAACTGACAGGCGAATACATTGGAAGGCATGGGACAAGTTATGTATCCCAAAGAAATATGGTGGGCTGGGGTTTAAAGATTTGCGTGCATTTAATCTAGCGATGCTAGGAAAGCAGGCGTGGCGAATTTTGACTAAGCCTGACTCTCTGGTGACACGTGTGTATAAGGCCCGGTACTTTCCGAAAGGATCTTTTTTTGATGCGCAAGTGGGAAATAATCCCAGTTTCTGCTGGCGGAGCATCATGGCAGCAAAGAGTATTATTTGTGGTGGGGTCAGGCGCAGAATAGGTAATGGGGAGTCTACATTTATATGGACCCACCCTTGGCTACGGAATGACCATGACCCAATGATACAAACAGAAATGCCAGTACAGTTGCAAGATGCCAAGGTTGCAGGTTTGATAGATCAGCAAACTGGTGTTTGGGATCCCTCGATCTTAACTGACTTATTTCAACCCAATGATGTGGCAGAAATTATGAAAATACCCATCTCCCCATGGTATGCAGATACCTAGTACTGGTATGGGGACCCAAGAGGAGAGTACTCTGTTAAAAGTGGATATAAGCAAATAATGGGAAATTATCAGCAGACTAATGAGGTTTTTACAAAATGGTTATCCCTATGGAAGTTAAAGATCCCCCAAAGTGGAGAATGTTTCTATGGAGAGCCATTAGTGATATACTGCCTACTACTACAAATTTGCTTATAAAGAGGGTGGATGTGGATCCACGATGTGCCATGTGTGGATTATCTCAAGAAGACACAATGCATGCCATGGTGTTGTGTGATTTTGCACGGAACATTTGGGATAAATCTAACCTTACAATCCCAAATATAATCACAAATATTTTTTATGTTTGGTTTGATGAACTTCTAAATGTTCTAGACTCTGATGGGATATTCTATGCAGTAGCAATACTTTACAATATTTGGAGAGCAAGGAACAGGGCTGTATGGGAAGCAACATTACCACGATCGGAGGTGGTGCTCAAGGCCGCCGCTGCTGCCAAGCACGCGTGGACACGGGCGCACCCACAGCCCACGGCCCGAGCCACAACGCCGCTGCCTACGCCGAACCCGCTGCAAGGAAATGCCGAGCTCAATGCGCTGATTCTGCCCGTTGCCGAGCCGCCTGGACCACCAAGGCGAGTATGCCGAGTGGACGGGGGGTATATGCAAGAGACAGGACAAGCTGCTATGGGGGTAGTCTTACTAAACACGGACGGGGGATATGTCTCGGCGTACAATGGACCACTACAAGGATGCTCCTCTCCACTTATGGCTGAGGCACTCGCATGTAAGGAAGCTCTATCATGGTTGAAGGATCGGGGAGAGCAGAATGTTGACGTTTATACGGACTACCTAACACTACATCGTTATCTTATTGCACCAACCGTTGTGCTGCGCACATATCTAGGCTATGCCATTGACACCTGCAGGCTTATTGCATCTTCGTTTCAGTCTTGTTCGTTTCATTTTATTCCTAGATTAGAGAATCATCTAGCTCATGCTTTAGCTACTACGGCTTATCAGCAAACCACAGCTATGTATTGGGATCTTCACCCACCGGATGTTATTTCGGCCTACTTTTAATGAAGCATCATATAATTTTCAAAAAAAAAAATCTAATCATGCTATATTTATTTGTAACTGTATATTAATTTAATTTTGAAATCATTGGTTCACATATTTGAATTTTTTTAATTATTAGAATTTATAAATAGAAATGATATTGTACTAATTAATTTATGATATTTATTAAATTGTATTTTTAAAAAATATAAGATTTACACATGTTACGGGGGGTTAAAAATATTTTAATATTATTTTTTATTAGTAAGTATTTTTTTAAAAAAATAATTTCCAACAACCCAAGCACTCCCTTAGTCTCCCATAAAAAAACTGATAAAGAAAAGTCATATCATTAAGGGAATTAAAACAAATTAAAGTAAATCCAATCATGCTATATTTATTTGTATGATTAATATAATCTCTAATCATGTACATATTTAGATAAATTTATAGAGAAAATTCATATAATTAAGTTGATTTATTCCAAATTGTATTTCATATATATTATAATTCTAAAAATATGAATAATAATAACTAAGAGAATTGTACTTAGAAATCAATAAAAATGTAAATTCTAAATTTTGTATGAATAAATATAAACTCTAATCAGACGCATATCCTTATATAATTGTATAATACATTGTATATACAAATAATATTTATTAATATGTATATAAGAAAATTCTATAATATAATTTAATTAATTATAATTTATATTGATAGATTTATACTTAAAAAATATATTTAGAAATTTAAAAATGTATGTATACACAGTTATAAATAAAATTATAAATATTCATTTTTTGTTAATTTTATTATTTCATATTTTATTAATTATAATTTAATAAAATTGTCACAAATATTTCTACGAAAGAAATCTTATATTTCTCAATTTCATTAATTATATTATTTATAATTACCAAATATTGTGGCAATTACCATAATAATTTCATTAATTATAGTAATTATGTTAATTATAACATTTGTTCTCTTCCAATATTTAAATACATTACCATAAAATTACCATAATAATTACACAAAAGAAGGAAAGAAAAATTATGAGAATAATTACCTTTAATAAAAATTAAGAAATTATATTAAATAATAATCTATATATTAAGGTAAGTATAATTTATTTTGTGCCAATAATATTATACATTAAGTATAATATATATATATATATATATATATATATATATATATATATATATATATATATATATATGTATGTATGTATATAAATTATCATAATAATTACACCGAAAAAGGTGACAATACATAATTATTAGAAAATAATATTAATAATTAATTATTAAGACAAGTATAAATTATTCTGTACTAATAATATTATTGATGGGGATATGGGACCCTAGGGGGTCTATTTTATTGGGAAAGTATTGGCCCAAGTGGGGGTGGTGAAAGAAGGAGGTTGGCCCAAGTGTTGTTGGGCTAGGAAGACGAGCACGCATGGTGGGCCGGGGTGAAGAGCATGGACCGGAAGGGGCGGAGGTAGGTAAGGCGTGAGAGGGGGGGGGAGGTAGGTACGGCGTTAGGGGGGGAGGTAGGTGCGGCGTGCATGGTAGATGATGTTAGCCAGCGTGCGCTGTGTGGATGTGAGGGCGCGGGGGCGGCGGCCGCTACCGCCCACGGCCAAGGCGGGTCGGCGGCTGGGGCGCCAGCTGGCGACACCGCTCCCAGCGCGCGGCCCAGGGGCATGGCTAGACGCCCCCGCGCGGGGACGCGGGGGCGGTGGTCGCCGGCACCAACGGCCAGGGCGGGGACGTTGGCTGGGGCGCTGGCCCCGGCTGGCGACGCCACACCCAACGCGCCTGGCTGGGCGCGGGCCCGGCACCCCGCGGCGGGGGCACGGCCAACCGCGTCGTGGCCCGGGGTGGGGGGTGCGTGTGCATGGTGTGTATGGTACGTGTAAGGGGCACGGGAATTTCGGAAGCATGGTGAACGTGCGGATTGGCATATGGAAAAGGAGGGAGTGGCGAGTAAAACACGTGGAGGCCCAGGAGGGGAGGGGGCATGCTATAAATAGGGGTCCCGGATCCTTAGCTAAAGGCAACTCAGACAGGACAGACACTACGGTCTAGTGGTCTTGATCTCATACTCTCAATTCCGTCACCTGGGTTCGATTCCTACAAGTAGCATAGTTAGCTATACCCATCCAGTGGGCCTTGTTCTTTGTATTTGGGCCGCCATTCCGGGCTTGTACCTCGGGCTTTTGTACGCATTGTTCTGGGCGTAGCGCCCTACCCCCGTTCTGTACCCCTGTACCCGGTTTATGGTGGACCCGGTCTCAATAAAACCATCATTGGCACCGTCTGTGGGATCGCTACGATTAGCTCGTGTTTGTAGTCTCTACCATCCTAGCAGGATTCTGAGGTACGTCGAAATGGTCGGCCCATCAGGAGAGCACCCACCCGATCCCCCATGCAGTGGAGGTGGACGAAACACCGGCCGCGGTGTGTTGGAGGCGCCCGCCTCAGTTCCTGCCGAAGACGGGAGACGGGAGGGCGGTTAGCGAGCCCACGTTATCCATGTCAGGCAGCCCCGTTGGGGCCGCTCGTGGTGCCACGTGGTCAAGAGTCACGAAGGGGTGGCGCCCGCGACAACGGTCTGGATGAAGCCGAGGGCGAAATCGCATATCGCCCCCTAGGGACGGCAGTCCGAGTCAGCCCCCCGGCGGAGTGGCTGGACGCGATGAACACCAAGATAGATGAATTGGTGCGGTGGAAGGAGTATGGTGCTAACGCCGTGGTACCCAGGATTTCCCTCACCCCGCCTTTCATCCCCAATATCATGAACGAACCCCTCCCCCCCCCCCCCCCCAACGCTGTCAGGAGGGGCGCAGCGATGGTTCACAAGCTTGAAGGGAGGCTCGTTAAATTCATTCCAAGACCTGGCCGCTAGGTTTATCTCCCATTTCATGAGGGGACAAAGGTGCAGGAAGTACTTCACGCACCTTGCCAGCGTCAAGCAGGGAAGAGATGAAACTCTTACTGAATTCCTCTAGCGGTGGAGGGAAGAAGAGGCCGAGGTTGAATATCTGGACGACAGATCAGCGATGACCATGTTCGTTGCGGCGCTCCGCGCCGGAGACTTATACAAGAACCTACGGCGCAAAACCCCGAGGTCGTACTCGGCATTGATGATGAAAGCAGATCGGTATGCCGAGGCGGAGGAGGCTTATCACCTGAAGTATCTAGAGGAGGGTGAGGGTGGTAAGATGCCACGGCTCGAAGGGCCGCCAAAAACCTAAGAGAGGAGCTAACTGCCCGTTCGGAGGCTTGGATGGAATAATAAGGTAGCTTGTTTAGCTTTACCACTTTACGTTACATCATGCGAATAATAATATCAGTACTCTTTTCCTAAACATGCGCTCCTATGTGCTCTGCATGCTTGTCTCACGGCCACCTCAACTATGTGCTCTTACGTGCTATGCATGCTGGCCCTACGGCCATGGCGGATGGGGCATGTGGGTTATCGCAACCCACATGCATGGACTTGCCCTCGACAAGCCACATGGTGTTGGCGGATGGGGCATGTGGGTTATCGCAACCCACATGCGCAGACTTGCCCCCGGCAAGCCGCATGGCGTTGGCGGATGGGGCGTGTGGTTTATCGCAACCCACATTCGCGGACTTGCCCCCGGCAAGCCGCATGGCGTTGGCGGATGGGGTGTGTGGGTTATCGCAACCCACATACGCGGACTTGCCCCCGGCAAGCCGCATGGAGTTAGCGGAGGGGGCGTGTGGGTTATCGCAACCCACATGCACGGACTTTCCCCCGACAAGCCGCATGGTGTTGGCAGATGGGGCGTGTGGGTTATCGCAACCCACATGCGCGGACTTGCCCCCGGCATGCCGCATGGTTTTTGGGCGGATGGGGCGTGTGGGTTATCGCAACCCGCACTATCCCATCCCACAACCATTAGTTATATTCAAATGCAGGTGCATGCAGGTGCAGTACGGAGAAATCAACAAACGCACACTAAATAAATGCAACAAAGGAGATGTCTGGTACACGAAGCATCCAAGAAGCGACAATAGAGGAGTCACCTTTGCCTCTCGACACTAGGTGATGAAGCAGGTCATGCGACGTGCGGTGTGCGGCAGAGGCACGCGGTAATGGAGTGGCGCATAGGCATGTCGCATGTGGCAGTAGCGCACGATGGTGGCAGAAACCGACAAATACCTAGTAAAAGTTGGAACTAGAATTTAATTTGGGAAAGAAATGAGGTGATGGTACCAAATTCTACTTCCTTTAGGCATCAAGATACCTAAAAGAAGTGGGGGACTTGTGATGGGGATATGGGACCCTAGGGGGTCCATTTTATTGGGAAAGTATTGGCCCAAGTGGGGGTGGTGAAAGGAGGTTGGCTCAAGTGTTGTTGGGCTAGGAAGACAAGCACGCATGGTGGGCC